TCTCATACGCGAGATAACCAGCGCAAAGTAGCGCAGAAACCAAAATCGTCACTGAAAATATCGTACCACAAACACTTCTTTGAGGCTTCTCCATCGCAACTCACATGCTCCGTGGACTTGTAAAGCGCAATTCACACCGAACACCGAGGTAAGATCACACGGCAGGAGAAACAGCACCCACACGCAGAGCGCAACTCGCGAACTGATTTCTGGCGACGGGCGGCCGGGCGTAGTTTAGCGGCTGGCCGCCAGAGGCGCTGTCAGCCGGTAGTCGAGCGAAAGTATATTATTCCCCGAGCGAGATCACAAACGCTTAAACAGTACCTTGTCAGTTTGGTGAAACGCAGATTGCAGAATCAGCATAGGTGTGTCCCAAAGCATTATAATCTTTTGTGAGGCCTGTAATAATCTAATAGCTGCTCTGGTGTTCATTCGCCTGTTGTATGAAAGCTCGGAGCATCAATGTGCAGCTCGTTGTGTAATTATCCACAATAACTGTGATAGCCCTTATAGATCAAGGACTTCACTATGAGATGATGACTAAACCAAGAACTCTGCAGTCACGTTGCCTGGATTTTGCTCACGGACGGGCCGTGCGCAAGCCGAGAAAACCCCTCGGATTTAGCCCACTTTTGGGGGGTGTGGTGCAGCTGTCTTTATTTATTTTTATTGTTTATTTAATTTCATTTTATTTTTCGCCTTCAGAGGCCATGCCCCCTGGCTACGTCCCTGGAACTATGCAAGAAACAAGAATAGAGATCAGTAGCGGCGGAACACCTTCAATCAAAAGGGGGCACTGCCGACTTTTGGTCCCATTCTTTCCATGCAACGCCAATAGGGCTAATGTTAAAATGCCAAGGTCAAAGGGGGGCACGGTGCCCCGGTGCCCTCCCCATTCCGCCGCCTATGGTAGAGATCCTAGGAGCTTCAGCGTATTATAAGCCAGACATGTGCATGGATCCGAGAAAATGGATCTGGGATCTGATCCCACGGATCCTGATCTCGGATCCGACGGGATCATAGATCCAGCTCTGTAATTTATCGAGAGTTCCGTAGGGATCACAGATCCGAGTCCCATTTTTCGCTTGAGATCCAGTGAGATCATAGATCCTCACTTATTTTTTGTCAGCACATATATCCCAAAAAAACACTTGTTTCAACTCACAAACATACTGTTTTAGTGATTTTATGTGATCGCACGTCATAATCCATAGTTTTGTGGCACTTATTGGCATATAAACCCTATAAAACATGGTTTCAAATGTGGTGCATGGTGGGATCCACTCAGATCATAGATCCATGTTCTTAATTTATCGTCAGATCATATGAGATCATAGATCCAAGATGTATTTTTCACGCCGGATCCGGTGGGATCATAGATCCCAACCTGTACTTTGCTTCAAGATCCACTGAGATCATAGATCCATCACTCGGATCCATGCACATGTCTGTTATAAGCCATGGTACATGAGGTGTCACAGAAAGGTTCAACGCCGTACGCTGCTCGAGATGCTGCCTCATCCTACAGCCGTTGAAGATCGACCAGCGCTGATGCATCCCAGGCAATCGACAACAACAATACCACTGTTCCGTGCTTCTATCCTCAGGATACTGAAATCCTTCTCCTCCATGCTGCAACCCCCCTCCGGGCTGGACAGGCAACTTTATCTCATGCGGGCTGCTCCCTTGGAGCGGCACCGCTGCTCCCGAGGGAGCGCACCCCGTAGCCGGGTGCAGTGAGTGCCTTGGGGCTGGGTGGCCTGTCCTTTGGACGGGCTCAGCCCCGGCGATTCACTAGGGTGCCTGCCCAGACCAATGTCTCCCCCTAATTCCTATCACCCTTCCGGCTCTGCAATGGTCTTGTCGACCGAAAGGGCCTAACCCAACAAAACAAAAACAAACAAACAAAACAACAATACCAGTGTGCGTTCTACCGCTGGTATCTTGCCGTATGACCTGGTGGGGAACATGAGGCAAATACACAAATTTATACCAATTTGTCAGCCTCTTGAACATTAGTGAGGGTTCATGATACCAACAAAATACCAAATATATTATGATTGAAATACCAAATAAGAAGTTGGTATCGGTTTGGCATCGGTATACATACCAAAATGTTGACAAGTTGGTTTAATGTGGATCTTTGTAATATTTTTTTGTGATTTCCCCTTTCTGTACAATCGTTCCACAACACAATGAATTCATAACTTGTGGTTGTATACAGTACCTATGGAAGCTGTTCAACAATGCCAAGATATTGTGCAGTTGCTAACTGTCGTTCAGGACACAAGCCGACGATATGGGACAGGGAAAACAATAAGCTTACCCCACGATTTAGCGTTTTTCGATTCCCCGAAAATAAAGCAAGCAAGCAAGCAAAAATCCGATTGACATCTCTAGTGGGTGTGCTCGGTGTTGTGCAGCTTTTTGGAATACCTATCGCTTTGGAGACAGTAACCGATTGACGCGACATCTGTGGCGCTTATAAAAAACTACAGCCATATGTAATGTCCGCCAGGTGTCTCTGCGGTCGTGAGCGTGAGCACTGAGCATAAATGTGAAATAGCGAGTAATCTACAAACATTGTGTGAATGGGAATGCATAGACAAGTTGCACAAGAGAGTCGGCATGTGGTTAAAAGTAGTCCAATAGTAACAAATGTTGTGGGCAAGTCTGAGGGATCAGGGAGGCTTAGAACTTAGGCAGTTTTTTTGTTTGTTTTGTTGGGTTAGGCCCTTTCGGTCCAATTAGACCATTTCAGAGCCGGAAGGATGATAGGAATTGGGTGGAGACATTGGTCTGGGCAGGCACCCTAGTGAGTCACCGGGGCTGAGCCCATCCCGAAGGACAGGCCGACCAGCCCCAAGGTACTCACTGCACCCGGCTACGGGGTGCGCTCCCTCGGGAGCAGCGGTGCCGCTCCAAGGGAGCAGCCCGCATGAGATAAAGTTGCCTGTCCAGCCCGGAGGAGGGTTGCGGCGTGGAGGAGAAGGATTTCAGTATCCTGAGGATAGAAGTAGGGAACTGTGACTTAGGCAGGTACGAGTTATCGACTCAGTAAAAACAAAACAGCTCATTAGGATAAGTAGAGTACCTAGACTTCTGGGGGCCTTGGATTATCCTGAACTGAGCAATGTCGTAAGTTTTAATCAACTTAACTGGATCGTACATAAAATAATGATATTCAAAGACAAATATAGAATCCCCAACTCCCAAGTACCTGATATTGGAAAAGCTTCAGTTCACTCAGTGTTCATACCTATAGGTACTCTGTCCGCTAGGTGTCTCTACCTACGATTGTAGGTGGCAGCACTGTACCAACCGAAGGAGAAATCCACATTCGGCATGTTCCTGTCAACCTCAGAGAAGCCGAAACAGATGGATCTCGTCTTCCTGCCGAGTCATTTTGTGTCACTTCCTTATCAGTTTAGAACTGAACACATGGTCAGCCTCAGCAGACCAGTCTGACCGTGGTCCACGTAGCTAAATTTTTGTAAATGCACTTTGACCTCAGAGTGTAGGTATATGAGGGACCCTGTTTTGGCCGGAGAGGCCGGTGTCGGCGGTCAGCGCAGCCCTTCCTCCAATGATGCCGTACAGATCATAGCAAAGAGACGGTTTATCCACCGATTACAAGGGCAAACAATCTTTGAGGTAATTCAGGGAGGAAAGGCACCAAGAATAATATTTCCGCTGATAACGAACACCGAGCGGAAGTGAGTCGGGGACCGATTGCACGGCGTCGTTCAAACATGAGATATTTGGCCTACCACGTCGCTTCACAGTTAGCCGGCGCCCCACTGGGGAATGGGGGGCTTCATAGTCCCCTCTCTCGTTTTTTTTTTGCAATAACTTCTAAACCGCTTGACATATCGACGCGAAAGTTTGAGTGCATCTGGCTGCATCCATTTGACATTTTGCGTCAAAATAAGAGCTTTGTAGCCACCATAGGTCGGCCGGAAATTCCTCGAGGTTAACGAAATTACATTTCTGAATACAGTTTTCCAGGGCTATCAGATGCCGCTGGAATTTTGAGAATCAGCCAAGTAGTTTTGGAGTTAGGAGGAGGCTATGAATAGACCCTTCCCCACCGGGGGGGGGGGGGGAGGGCATTACACGCAGACCCCATGGGGCACGGGTTAAACCGTGACACATGGAAATGCGTTTCCAGATGGATGCCTTGTCATCCCACTCGTGTCAAGTTTCAGCGCAGTCGGCCCAGTAATTGTCGAGTTATTGTAATGGGAATAAGCCTGACATCCTTTCATTTTGCACGTGGTACGTGCAGTGGGGTTACCCCCCATGCATTGAAACGTTAGACGTTCAATGTTAGACGTCAGACGCCCCCCCCACAGAGCTGTCTGATGGGTGGTTCGATAGCAAGCTAGACCAACTACTGGGTCCACATAAAAAGCGTGCTATTCTAAGACGCTACACGCTATACCCCCCCCCCCCCCCCTACACACATTAGACGCTAGCAAAACACCAATGCGGGTGAGGGTTCAAAGTAGTTAATTACGAGGTAGAAATAATCGTGGAAATAATGAGGCTACCGCACTACCGCAGCATGTAATTTTTATACAACAGTGCTATTTTTCCGTTATATTGAATAGACTCGCTTCTGTTATCATGCTCGCTGGTAAAAGTATCATATGCATTGCACATATAATTTCTGATGCAGTTTGCTGCAACAGCTCCGTTGCAGCGACCGCTGCCTGTGATTCATTCCACTAAACCCGATATCGCGTGACATAGCATGCCTATCAGGTTTGCCGGTCGCCCTATCAGTCACGTCTGCCATTGGTGGAGTGAGGTGGTTTGTTTACTCTGCAGTGGGTCATACCCGTGATCACACCTCAGTCCATGAGGCCGAACCCGACTGTGCCCCAGTGGTGTCCAACCAGCCGCACAGAGAGGCCGACTCTCGTACCCTGTCAGGATACTGGAGGATACTAGTGGAGAGTAAGGGGTATTAGTGGAGAGTAAGGGATATTAGTGGAGAGTGAGGGGTATTAGTGGAGAGTGAGGGGTACAAGTCCTGCTTGCGGGCATCCTGAGTGGAGCAGCGAATAATGTAGACCATGGTGACTGGTGAGTGGTTCCAGTTAAAGTGTGGAGGTCCGGACTGAGACTGGATTGTTAGGAGATCGGAATCGGAGGTCGCAGCTCTTGACTGTGCCCTGAAACTTCTGGGTGGACTGTGGAGCTTGTGCTGGTGTGAAGAACCTCATCAAAGCGGAATATTCTGACTAGACCATGGAAGCTCTGAATGGAGATTAGAAGCTCTGACTTGGACTCTAGACACTCTGACTGGATCATAGAAACTCTTACTGCGATCCCGAATGGCCTGAAACAACGCAAGTAAACGTGGTAGCGTTCCCAGCAAAGGTTGTTCAAGAGGCGGTAGTCTGACATGTCAGCAGAAAAAGGTCACATTGGGCGTTAACTGACAGAACGGAGGGTCACGGAGAACAATAACTAACAGAGAAGAAACGCACGAGGAGAGTAAACGGACGGAATCGAATTGCACCAGAGGAGTTAACTGACGGAATCGAAGTGCAAGAGGGGATTTAGCTGACGGAATCGAACTGCTCGAAGAAAATTGACAAATCGTTATGGCGTCAGCACAACTATTTCAAAAAGATGGCTTAATCGGAATCCTGAGTATGGCGCATCACGAAGATGACGTTGTCGGGATCCTGGACATGGCAAGTGAAGCGGAGACTGCTCAGACAGACCTCAGTGGAGAAGTGCCACCTGCAGCCCTGGAGGCCGCCATGGCTGCCTCGGCGGGATCCGAGTTGAAGCCTGCTCCGGCTGCCGCGTTCATTGCTGCTCTGCGGGCCGTACCAGGCGAGGGGGAGTCCCCAGAGACCGAAGACGCGTACGTTGACAGATCCCTGTGTTACAACACACTATGTGCTAGTCTCAACGGGCGTATAGCGGCTCTGACGCGGGTATTGGAAGCACCCGATGATGATCCTGTTGAGATGGCGGCTGCGCGGGCGGCACTGGCGCGCTCCAAGGCCTACCCGAAACTTGAGGAGTGGAGACCCTTTGAAGAGAAAAGCAGCAGAGAAACCTACAGGAGCGTACTGGGCGCATGGGTGCTGCCGAATGAAGAGGCGTGTGTTCTGGCACTGTACCGGGACCTGCTGAACGGAGGTGGGCGGGGGGAGGCCGAGACCAACACGTCCACTGGTGAGCAAACTGTGGACAAGGAAAGCGTGCGAACCGAACTGTGCATACAAAACATGCACAAAATCTGGCTTGGATGTCTTGGAAACAGCTTTGGCATGTACCCACACCGCTTTTCTCTCTCTGCGATAAATGCGAAAAACACGACTTTTTCCATTGTGGATTCAGTCAAATCACGGCAAGACGTTGACCTAGAGTGTGCTCGCATGGACTGCCAACAAATTCCACCAGAGCAGCTGGTGCAAGCAGACGCTGACAAAGAACATCTCGAAGGCAACCTGCCTCAAGAAGTCAGAGAAAGGTTAGAGAAACTAAGAGGTGACATAGAAGAAGTTCTGTTTGCCTACACATCCCCGTTCACCACCAAGGCTGAGAAATTATACAACCTCTTGATGATTATTCGGAACAGAATTCTAGCACACAACATCATCAAAGGACATGCGGGCGGTGAAAGAGATCCCGATGACAAGACAGAGGCTAAACCGCGAGGAAGCCCGCAGAAGAGAAGACGTCTTGAACCACAGCAAACTACATCTCACTCTCCTGAAACCGGCAGAAAAGACAAGGAACCATCCCAAGTCGCCTGCAGAAAGGCCATAGAAGGCTGTGCGAACTCCCCGCAGTTGGAAGAGATCCGTAAAGCGATGGATGCTCCATGTTTACTGGCCGAAATGGCCGCAGCTCTGGGACGAGTCCTACGATGGAGGGAGCAACTTCTTGTCAAGTCAAACACCATACATCGGGCAAAAGCTTACGAGGAACGATTTAGAAACGCCTTACAGGGAAAAGAACATCTTTCAAACTGCGGATTGAAGCGGGAAACCCCTGTGTACAAGCTTGCCATCCAAGATATGTTTGTGTCAGGAAGCGCAGGCGAAACTACTGAGATGCATGTCGCTAGGAGTGAATACGGTGAATTCAAAACAGTTCAAACGTTCCAGTGGGTGAGTGATGACGGTTTTGCTCTGCCGCACTGGATCCAAGAGAGAAAGAAACTGAAAAGGCCGCCGAGCAAAGCAGCAGTCGATGACGTCGATGACGATGAAGAAAAATCTGACGAAACTTTCAAGCAAGCATCTGACGTCGACTTCATGCTCCAGGTGGGACCTGTGAAGCTGGAAAAAGGACCGCCATGGAAAAAATTCAGTCGACCGAGTGACTTCGATAACCATTTGAGTTCCTCTGACAGTGGCGATGCGTACTCCCACCACACAGAAAATGGCTCGTCCGACGCAGAAGAAACTGACTCCTCCGACTCAGAGGAAACTGAATCCTCCGACTCAGAGGAATCTGAGTCCTCCGACTCAACGGAGAGCGACTGCTCCGACACAACGGAGAGCGACTCTTCCCTTTCTGGCTTGGAAAGTTTGAGCAGGGAATATGCAAGGCAGCAACAAGAAAAAGCTGACCAGAGACTGGAACTGAAGTATGGGAGACCATTGTGCATTGACACCTTCTTAACGGAAAGGGTCTCTGATTCTACAAACGACACTTTGACACTTCTGATGCAAGAAATCGAAGACAGACCAGGATTTGCGTACCTTCGTCGGATCTTTCCGGGGGAGGGTGAACACGTTGACAAGTATGCCTTTACTGTCAGTCATTTCAAAACACATTTAGCGGCAGCTATGGATCGTCACATGGAAGGCATCGAAATTAAAGATAAAGACGATGAAAAAGCGAGCATGGAAGCTGTCTTTGGAGAAGACAGCATTGACATCGTTCTCTGTCTCCAGCAGGGCGTATTTTAACATGTTAACTGGGTCGGCAATTGCCGACCCAGTCACGAAGAATGCCGACCCAGTGACAGCCGTTTGCCGACCCAGTTGCCGCCCCCTCTAGGATGCAGCACGCACATGCAGGCTAGGTGCCGTCATTCATAGTGAGGCTGCTGCCCTCCGAAATGATAATGCCGCCTCTTAAAGTGAAGCAGCCGTCTATAGAAAGTGATGATCCCACAACTCAATGTGATCGTGCCGCCCCTAAATCTGTTAGTAGTCCCACTCAATGTAATGGTGCCGCCCTTCTAAGCATCTGTGGAGCCCCTCAATGTGATGATACCGCCCCTCAAGAAGATGATGCCGCCCCTTTCAGTATCGGTGGCGCCCCTCAATGTGATGGTGCCGCCCTCAAAGTGCCGGTGGCGCCCCTGAATGTGATGGTGCTGCCCGCCAACGAGTCGATGGCGCCCCTCAAAATGATGCTGCCGCCCCTTAAAGTGTTGGCGCCGCCCCTTATAGTGTCAGTGACGCCCTTCGAAGTGTCGGAGGAACCCACCAATATAATGGTGCCGCCCCTCTAGATATCCACATAGCCCCTCATTGTGATGGAGCCGCCCCTCAAGCAGATGATGCCGCCCCTGAATGTGACGGTGCTGCCCGCCAACGAGTTGGTGGCGCCCCTCAAAATGATGCTGCCGCCCCTTAAAGTGTTAGTGCCGCCCCTTATAGTGTCAGTGACGCCCTTCGAAGTGTCAGAGGAACCCACCAATATAATGGTGCCGCCCCTCTAGGTATCCACATAGCCCCTCATTGTGATGGAGCTGCCCCTCAAGCAGATAATGCCGCCCCTCAAGAAGATGATGCCGCCCCTTTCAGTATCGGTGGCGCCCCTCAATGTGATGGTGCCTCCCTCAAAGTGCCAGTGGCGCCCCTAAATGTGATGGTGTCTCCTGTCAACGAGTCGGTGGCACCCCTCAAAATGATGCTGCCGCCCCTAAAAGTGCTGGTGCCGCCCCTTACAGTGTCAGTGGCGCCCTTCAAAGTTTTGGAGGAACTCATCAATACAATGTTGCCGCCCTCTAACTTTCTGTAGCGCCCCTCCATATACATAATGGTGCCGCTTCTCAAACCATCCGTGGCGCCCCTCAAAGTGATGGTGCCGCCCCTTACAGTGTCGGTGGTGTCTCCTCAAAAGTCAAGGTGCCGCCTCTCAAAGAAATGCTGGTGTCCCTCGAAGTGTCGGAGGCGCTCCTCAATGTCATGTTGCCGCCCCTCAAACCTTCCGTAACGCCCCTCCACGCCATGGTGCCGCCCCCCAGGCCCCAATGTGCTCACGGCGCCCATATGTGATAGTAACGCCGGTCAAAGTGCTCCTGTCAGTGTCGGTCGCGCCCCTTATAGTGTCGGTGGCGCCCCGAACAGTATCGGTGGTGGCCCTCAAAGTGATGATGTCACCCTCAAACAAACAGTGGCGCCCTTCGAAGTATCGGAGTCCCTAAATATCATACCTATTGCCGCCCATTAACGATCTGTAGCACCCCTCCATATGATGGAGCCGCCCCTTAAAGTATCCGTGGCGGTCCTTAAAGTTACAGTGCCGCCCCTTCCAATGTGGGTGGCGTAATCAAAATAAAAGTGATGTTGCCTCCCCCCCCCCCCGAGTAATGTTGGCGTCTCTTTCTTCTTTAAGTATCGGAGGCGCTCCTCATTGTCATTTTGCCCCACATCACTGCTCACATGGCGCCCTTCAATGTAATGGTGCCACCCCGCAACGCTCAAAGACATAATTGCGCTCCTCACAGTGTCGGTGGCCCTAAAAAAAAATTGGTGGCGCGCCTCAAAAATCAAAATGATGCTGTCGTCCCTTAGCATATCTGCAGCGCCCCCAAAATAATAGTGCCTTCCCTTAACCCGCGCCCCGTAGGGCTACCGGCGGACCCTACCACCCGTAGGGGGGGGGGGGGGCGTTTCGGCCCCCCCCTAAGATCTCGGAAAGTTACCGGCCGATTTTCAAAATTCAAACGGCGTTCGATAGCCCCACCCGGGAACTACCTTGTGACCAAATTTCATTGACCTAGGTCAAACCGATGACGTCACAGGTCAGGTCAAAGGTCAGATTTTCACCGTTCACAGGCAATTCAAGAAATGTGCTGTGAAAGCGAGTAAATTGGTAATTTATTGAAAACCATCGATGGTACATTGTTCGTCAAACACATACTTTGCTATCTGAGGTCACTGATACCAGGTCAGGTCACAGCGAGGTCAGGTCACCGGGGGTCACAATATGAATGTGTCGTGTGATACATGTTTTATGGTCCATTTTACATGACAAATGCGATTATGTGGGTTAGGCAGCCTTTGGGGCCAGCCTAGGTCACGTTTTTGTGAAGGTCAGGTCAAGGTCAGGTCAAATTAGGTCAAATTTCAAAGTTGATATTTTTGCATAAAATGGGTATCGATTCGATGCAGCTCGTCACGGGGAGTCTAATGGTGGTCTTCGTTTTGCTCTACGAGTTCTAGAATTGCCAAAAATTGAGTTTGAAAATTTGACGTCATCATTTTTGAACAGTTTTTTCGCTATAACTTGGCCAAAAAACGAGGTATCGATCTGAAATTTGTTATGTAGATAGAAGACGGTAGGCACTATCACATATATTCCGGTTTTTTCGAAATTCAAAAAACTTTTTCGATTTTTTGGCGAATATATCCAAAAAATTGCTTTTTTGATTTTTGGGGGTCAAAACTCAAAAATTTCAAAAATTCGAGATAGCAGTTTTGTAGCCCTGTCAATTCTACATCTCTTATGTCTTGATCATTTTTCTGTATCTTCAAAGCTGTAGTCCTGACAGGTCTTCTCGCGAAGGTCTTTTTTCGGTCGAAAATGACAGAACATGACGTCACTCTGACGTCATTTGTGGCCAACCTATCATAGCCTCTGGAAAAATTTTTGGTCACAATGTGTAAAATTGATGCCCGGAGGGGTCCTGAAAGTTTGGTGGCGATATCTCCAGCCGTTTAGGAGATATCGACCGAAAAGGACAGGGAGGGGCCGTTTCGGCCCCCCCCCCCTACGGGGCGCGGGTTAACCGGCGCCGGGCTGAGTTTGTTTAAACCCCCCTCCCGACCCCTATAACTTGGCTACTTAGGCCACGTAGCGACACGCGGTAAGCGGTATTCGGAAGAGTGTCAAAAACTGCTTGGGTTAGTTGGTTAACCGTGCTTTGGTTAGGTCAAGTCAAATGTCAAATATCAGGTGACCAGAGGTCATCAAAGGTGAAATGTGGGTGAAATGTTGTCTGTTTCAACATTTATTGACATTTAACAAACTGGCGCATAACTCGGGGAAGAATAGAACTACAGCACCGCGAAAAAGCGCATTCGATAGCTCTTCAACGTTCCTATGAAGTCCTCAGACTTGACCTAACATCAACGGCTTAACCTACAGAGCACAACTTGTTTAACCCGTGCCGGGCCGGGGAGGGTTGGAGGGGACAGTGGACCCCCTGCGCCCCTCTACTGAGCTGTTTTAATGAAGAACCTTTTTACTGTAATAATTATTGACGCACGAAAGTTATGACATTGTTTTTTTCAGTACTGTGCTCCTCTCGTCGAGATGCGTCGAATGAACTATAATTTGACATTCAAACGTCATTTGGGAAATTTGAGCTCAGGTCCAGGTCATGACCTGGCTGGTAAAGGTCATGTTGCATATCAGTCGATTTGTATCGTCAAACTGAAATCATCTATGTAAGGTGTTTTCATCGCTCAGGCATGTCGCATATCTCTATCAGAAGTTATTGGGAAAAAAAACTGCTGGAGGCCTACCATGACCTGACATGACCTCAAGGACATAACGAGGGGTCGTGGGTGGCAATTTTCCGATTAAGTGTGTCATTTTTAATTGTTTTCTGATGTTTAAATTCGTTAACTTTGACATTTGTCTACCTATAAAAAGAGGCACATGCCCTGATTTTCTCCCATTTCCTTTTACCTAATGGAAGGGTCGCAAAATTGTCCTTACATTTGGTCAGAGACATCGCAATTTCGAGACTTACATTTAACCCTCGCCGGTTGATGCAACCCCCCTAAGGTTTATCGCGAATAACTCGCGTAAAAAGCGGCCGATCGCAACGAAACTTTCAGTACCCTCGAATTGATCAATTTTACACCTACCCTGCAAATTTTATGACCCTGACTTCAATGACCTTTCACCTGTGACCTCTTTTCCGTGACCATGTTTGGCCGAAATCAAGATTCGGCGTATGTCGGCTCGCATTAACCGCGCGTTTGCAAGCTTTTCGTGGTTTCAAAATTCAAACGTTCAAACATGTGATTTGATGTTGCTCCCATGCATTAGGGTGGGTGTCAAGGTCACCTGAAGGTCAGGTCAGGTCATTGACCTTTGGTGACCTCGGTTCACTTTTTCGAGTTTTACATATTTCTAGGCTAGTTTTTGGAGCTGAATTCGAATTTAGCAACCATTTAAATATTTACGAAGTAGTTTTGGTGCCTTCGTAACATGTTACGAAGCTGTCAGAGGCGGTTGACACGTACTACGAATACCCGCCACGACGCCTACTGGTTGACCTGACCTGACCTGACCCGACCTGGTCTAAACGCTTAACGACATCATCTGTGATCAAAACTAACACGATATTTGTGATCAGCACCCCGGAAAACCCCTTAGCAGCCACAATTTACGACTTTCAAACAGGTCCCGATATTCCCGATTTTTGGGTCATTGACCTGACCTGGAAGGTCAACCGATGACCTAGGACCTTGAAATTGGGTATCATTGGCTTCCTCTCGTGACGGACAACACGCTCGTTTTTTTCTGCGAAGCTCTAGCTCCATCAGGGGCCAAACGTGAGGGGGGGGGGGGGGTCGTACCAACCAACCTTGTGCCGTCGAAGGACTCAAAATGGCCTGTGCCGGCGAGGGTTATATTATATATATACAGTTACACACTGTTTGTCTTATCAATCGCTGAAGTTATAAAGGGATCGTTCAGTCAGTATATCTATGGTGAGCATTTGCCTGTTCCGTGGCTCAGTTGGTAGAGCACCGGACTCCCCGCATTGCCTTCGCTTGCGTTTTGTCCGCCGGCCGAGCCGGAGAGAAAGTTACCGAGTGAAGGTCATTCAAATTTCAAAAACTCAATGACAATGTCACTGGGGTCACGAAAATGTTTGAGTAGGTAGGTATAACATTCATTAACCTGGGGGGGGGGGGGGAGGGATGAACGTATCGTTGCAATACGCTGTTCATTACGCGAGTAACTAATAAATAAAAAATGTATGAGTTAATCCTTACTCCACACGCTCTCCCTCGCCATAAAAAAGAGAGTTAATTGTGTTGCATTTTATTTATACCTATGCAGAAAAATAGAGGCGTCAAAGGATATGGCCGAATATCAGCGACCCTTGCTGTGTAAGCAATGGGTATGACAAGTGGGGGTAATGGCCCCGTCCAGCGCCCATAAAGTGGGCACACTCGTGCGACCTGCCGACCACTGTTCTAGATAGAGTCATAAAACGCCGTGAATATTTTAAGCTTGACGATACGAATCGGCTGGTATGTAACATGTTTACCTCAGGTAAAATTTTAAGATTATTTTTTGTTAGGTCAAATTATAGTTCATTTATCGCATTATGATGAGAGAAATACTATATCCCGGAAAAATAAACGTAATACCGCTGAGCTTAGGTTGAATCTGAAATCATTACTTAGGAAGAGTTATAAAAGAACCGTCGAACGTGTCTTTTTTGGTCATTAAATATCAGTAGGTATGCCGCCCCCTCAGATGCCAAGTGCCGCCCCTATGAGTGCAAAATGCCGCCCCTAATTGTGATTGCCGACCCAGTGAAAATCCCTTAAAATACGCCCTGGTCTCCAGTACCCAGAGAACGTCAGTGACGAGTTTGTGAACAGGGAGCGACCATCGGGACAGCCGAGCAAGGCCTTGGTGGAGAAGCTAAGGACGATGCCCATCTTTCTGGTAGGAAAGGGTCGCTTGACATTTCGCAAGTCGTTTTCAGTCCTCGAGTCGAAGGTGATCCGCTCTATGACCAAGCCCCAGCGGATCTGTCTGACCCTGCTCAAACACTGCGCTGCAGTGACGAAAAGTGACCTGTGCAGCTATGAGCTGAAGACGGCCATGATGTGGCTCTGCGAGCGACGTGCGCCAGAGCTCTGGACCTGGGACGGCATGCTGGAGTCGATGATGGCCGTCATGGACTTTCTGATGCAATGCGCCCAGAGAAATAGCCTCCCGTGCTATTTTGACCCTGACATTGAGCTTTGGGAGATGCAACTCAATGTGTATACAATGAGGGGATTTGATGTGGTAAAGCTGCGAGCGCTGCTGCCGCGCGCCATCCAGCTGCTGCTGGCTGGCCTGCTGAGCTCGAGCCAGGCGCCGCTGATGCGCCACCTGCTGAACCTCCCCCTGGACGCGCAGCAGATGCTCTGGTGCTGCTGGAAGCGCAGAGTCGACGACCCTTTCCCTGGAAGACCGGAAAGTAGATGGCGATCCAGCCCGGATGACTTGGCCTGCGGTCTGTACCCTCAGGCCGTGGAGGGTCGCCTCTGGTCGGAGGGATTCCTCGACACCTTCCGGTGGGAGTCGCTGCCGGCGCGCTGCAGGCAGCCCGACTGGTTCGCCGAGCATGGCTGGGACACGGACAGCGACGAAGACTGAGATTCAGTCGGCATTGTCTTCCCACCGCAGGCTTTACCAGTCTGGCATGTGTGGCATACGTGACTCAAGAAGTTCACCACAATGTATAAGACCCTATTGTGAACAGTTTGACCATCACAGACTTTACCAGTCTGGCCTAGATTGCGTTCCTTGACTAGACTGAGTTCAGGCAGACTGCGCAGTCAAGACGAGTTCAAAGCACCTTAGACTACTGTGTGTGAAGAACAATTGACACCTGAGCTAAAAGACTGGGTCAGGTGTTATTGAATTGTTCGAACGACGTTGTGCTTGTGCGCGGTGTGCCTGGAGGTGGATGGCTGGTCGGTGATCAGACACTGTACCTACATACTTAAGGTCATTGTAAGTGCTGTTTAATAGCAGGGAAACATTTCCCGATGTGCGGACAGCGATTTTGTGATGGAATGTACATTTTACACGGTACATACATAATGCAGTCCAATTTCGAAAATTTTGAAAAATGTGACTGCATGTGACGGATTCCATTTCCAATCCAAGTGCATTGGTGTGTGTGACCCCAAGGGTGTGAAACAGTTAGTGCGCTCAACTGTAACTGTATGCATTTGCATGTAACTGTAGGTAAGGTAATTGCCTGCCACATTTACCTACTAAAGAGTTTGTGTTTTTCTATCTTATAAAATGTTGATGGGCAAAGTCAAAACAATGGTATAGGTATGAACACACACAACTTTGGCTGGGTATGCTTGTTTGAACGGTGCGTTTGAATGACCTATGCAATAAAATATATTCATTTTTCAGTGTGTTAAATTAAGAGCTATGGAGTTTTGCTCTTGTTTTTCTTTGCAAGCGGTGCAAAAACGATGACACGCAAAGCCACCACTTTTTTGTCACATACCTTTGTCAATTAGATTTTGTTACATCAATTCCGAGTAGAGTGTGAGAACACCAGTCAGCGCTCAGCTGTCTGGTAAGACCCTGTTGTGTGCGAGTTTCAAGTAGTCTGAGATGACCCGAATTTTGGCTTGATCCGGTTTGGGTTCTGTAATGCGATAATTTTTTTAGCTTTCACGCAGCCCACGTCAAAAGACGTAGTGATGTCAACTTCTAACAATCGGAATACCAATACCAAGCCAAATACCAACCAAAGCCATGGGGAAATACCGAAATCAAACCAGCTCAGGAACATGAGGGAAATACCAACTTTTTACCAACTTCTTAGCCTCTTATACATTGGTGAGGGCTCATGATACCAACAAAATACCAAACACATAAGGATTGAAATACCAAATACCAAGTTGCGGTATCGGTTTCGTATCGGTAAGTATACCAAATAGTTGGTACCTATCTGATTGACATCTTTACAAAAAAAGGTAGCATATTAGCCGTTTTAACGACGGCCATCTGGTACACATTTGGTGCACATCTGGTACAGATTAGGTGCAGATTTGTTCAAATCAGGTTCAGTGTGCCTCTTAGCAGCTATCAGCTAGGGCTGCACTAATTGCTTTTATGCCTGCTTTGTCATCTTATCAGAGAGCATCATCGATTAACCCTCGCCCGTAAACGGCGATCTGCCACCTTCGCCCATGCAGGGGGGGGGTTGGTGCGACCCCCCCTTGGCGTTTGAAAACGGAGCGTCGTAGAGCTTAGCGGAAAAGACCAACGGATTGCTCTCGCCGAGATCTCGCGATTGGTGGTATATTTTTTGGTACTAGGTCAACGTTTGACCTACTTTTGACCGGTCAAATGTCAAATTTTCGGAAAAATAGACTTTTTCAACTTTCCGCGGCGATTGCGGCAAAACGGTGGGAGATATCGACTTGAAACCTTCACTATCGTGTTCCTTAATCAATTCTCTATCGTTTGGTATGTATTTCGTTTCCCTAGCTCTAAAAATGGCGCGTTGGGAGCGCCGGAAGTCGGCAAGGTCACAGTCGGCGGCAGAAATTCGAAAAATCAAAATTTAAATTTTTGAAATCTGATTGTATTTTTGGATTTGGGAGGTCCATTTGCTCCCTATAGAAGCTAATATTGCTGCATATTCCCATTGAGGTGACAAGAATTAGCAAAATAGTGGTTCGGGCGCTTTTCAAAAATAGTACCGGACGCTGTTCCTCTTGTGACGTCATAGCTCCGTGACCTGACCTGACCCGGTCAGGTTTCTTATACCATATGATAGCCAATACTTGCCCCAACATGCATGGGAAGTTTCATCACGATCCATCAACCGATGTCCGTACCACCGGCAGGAAACCTCGGGCGTTGGCACTCAGTTTGTGAAAATCCGGCCGGAGGCTGTTCCCTTTGTGACGTCATAACTCCGTGACCTGACATGACCCGGTCAATTTTTTTTATCAAAAGATGCGCAAGGTTTGCCCCATAAGGTACCCAAAACTTGGCGGCGCTGCGCGCCGCCGTTTTTGCACTATTTCCGAAAAGCCTCAGGGGGGGGGGGGGGGGGTTGCACCAACCCCCCCCCTACATGGGCGAGGGTTAAAACACTGAAATAAATTCATAAAATAAAGATATTTGCTGTAAGAGAAATTAGGTGCAGATTTGGTCAAATCAGGTGCACTCGCCGGATAGCCCGTCGTGAAAACGGTCATTATGAACCCTCACTAATGTAGGTATAAGAGGCTAAGAAATTGGTGAAACGTTGGTATTTCCCTCATGTTCCCAAGTTGGTTTCATTTCCCCACGATTTGGTTGGTACATATTTGGTTTGGTATCGGTATTCCGATTTTCCGTAATTGACATCACTAGTCGGTACACATGACTCGCTGTAACGGAAAATGATACCCGTGACCATATTCGATAACCCTGAAGTAATCCTAGGCCACAAAAAGTGTCAAACAGTTTTCCGCTAATAGCTTTTGATGTGGGCATGTTAATAGCGCGATGAAAGCACCTTTGATGTGTTCAGCTTGACGACACGGTCTGCCCTCTGAGATTCAGTCAGCGAACAGCGATGACCTGTATTTGATCTGGGTGCCGCGGTCCAAGAAGCCCTTCCAATGAGACCTGCTCATGTCTCGAACCTAACAACCGATAGCTAAGTCGCTGATTGCAAGGATCCGCATTCTCCGGGCTCCCAGGGTGCCAAGACACTCATGCAACTAATCCTGCCAATACGACACACAAATCTGAAGTGGCCTGGGACCGATAACATGGCGTCGTTCAAATATCATCTAGCCTCCTGCAGCGCTTTACATTGCACCATTCCTCTGCATTTAGTGGCCTGATATTGGAGTGGTTTATTTCTCATGATAGAATAGCTGACTTTACATGCAATGGCACAAGTATTATTTTCCGCAAAGCTCTAATCTAATCAGTGGCATGAGCCCGATTGACTTTCGTAACAGCGCCTTTGAGGATGCCCACTGATCAATGTCGGCCAAATTTCAAGCTTTTTCGTTTGGATTACCGCCAAAAGTGGTCAAGATCATGATTTGTTTTCCCATGTAAGCAAACGTTCTTATAGCCTGCGAGCGAAAGGTATCAGGTATCAAAGCTGCACAAAGAAGTAGAGCTATCCCACACAATTACACCGCTTCCGGTTATCTTTAACCTTCCAGGCGGTGGGGGGAAGGGGGGCATTTTTTTGCCCCCCCCCCCTTTAGTTTTTTTCGATATATCTCGAGAACCGCTGCGCCGATCGTCACCAAACTTTCAGTACCCTCCCGGGAGCAGCTAGCGCACATGGTGACCAATATTTTTTTCCAAAGGCTATGATAGGTTGGCCGCTAATGACTTCAGAGTGACGTCATTTCTGCCATTTTCGACCAAAAAAAAAGGTTTCGCGGGAAGAGCTGTCAGGCCTACAGCTTTAGAGATACAGAAAAATGTTTCAGACATGAAAGGCGTGGAATCAAGAGGGCTACAAAACTGCTATTTCGGTTTTTCGATTTTTTTTATTTTGACTCCGAAAAATCAAAAAATAGATTTTTTGAATATAATAGCCAAAAAATCCAAAACGTTTTTTGAATTTCGAAAAAAACGGAATATATGTGATATTCCCTACCGCCTTCCATCTACATACCAAATTTAAGATCGATACCTCTTTTTTTTGCCAAGTTATAGCGAAAAAAACGTTCGAAATTGATGACGTCAAATTTTCAAACTCGATTTTTAGCAAATCTAGACCTCGTAGCACAAAACAAAGACAGCATTAGACTCCCCGCGACGAGCTGCATCGAATCAATACCCATTTTATGCAAAAATATCAACTTTGAAATTTGACCTTTTTTGACCTGACCTTGACCTGACCTCCACCAGAAAGTGACCTAAACAGTACCTGATGGTCTTATAACCAACACCATTGAGTTGGAAATGAAAAAGTGGCCATAAAACATGCATCGCACAACCTTAGTAAAGGTGGGTTCATGTGGTGACCCTTGGTGACCTTTGGTGACCTGACCTGTGATCTGACCTGGTATGACCAGTGACCTCTAATAGCAACATATGTACTAGACAACTGACGCCTTATTGCTGATTTTCGACAAAATGCGTTTTACTCGGTATTTTAGCGCTTTCCCTAGAAGCCCCGTGAACGGTGAAACATTTTATCTTTGACCTGACCTGTGACGTCATTGGTGACCCCGTGGTCAATGAAATTTGGCTACCCTCAACGAATTTGACAGGGCTATCGAACGCCGTTTGAATTGTCCGGATCCGTCCAGTAGTTTCGGAGATACGGGGGGGGGAACAAAAAATGCCCCCCCCCCCACCGCGCGGAAGGTGGCCGGGAGGCCCACCGCCTGCCGGGTTAAGTGATTTACATGAGTCACCAGGAAACGGACGGGCATTGTACTCATAAGATCTGTATCGATAATCATCCACTCATCAATCTAGACCAGCAGCGAAGGCCAAAGGTGAATAATCCACTCGTCTTATCTAGTCCCCCACAAAAGGTGAGTATATCAGACGCGACTTCGGACGACCACAGCCAGTCCTCACGAGGCAGTGTGACCGATCAGTCATGTCGCGCCCTGACGTCTTCGGTGCTGCCAAGAAGGAGCGTGTGTCCAGGCTGACTTTTGGACCCAATGTGGAAGCACTGGTGCAAAAGTGCGGCGCCGCGGCTCACCTTGTTCCGGATACCCTTCTACTGACACTAGATTTGCTCCATAATGTGTTCCCCGGAAGACTGGCCAATACCGCGTCTCTGGAGCTTGATGACGGCGTCTACGAAATGGTTGCCGAGCCTTTGATGGCGGCGTTGCAGGAGATCAGTGCAGCAACTGCCTCCGCCCGGTGTCCCCACTGCCAGCCCAGTCAGCCCCTCAAGTTTGTGAACTGCTTCAGAACAGGGAGCATGGCGGAAGGCGTGGGAGACGGCAGAGTAGACTCGGGGGGCACGTCGGACTTCGATATCATGTTGGAGTTCGACGGCCCCTTCCGCTGGGCGACAACCGCGGAGAAGCCGGCCGACATCGAGCCACAGTCCGCGCCGCAGCTGTGGGCCCGGCCGACCAGCAAAACTGGCTTTGTGACGCTGCACTGGGTGCAAACAACGCAATGCAGCCACGAGGAGCCGCTGGAGGCCCTGTCGGCCACGTCTATGCGCAAGTTCATGCTAGAGCTGTGCCAGGCCTTAGAGGACGGTAACATCAATCCCACTGGTCCAGCCGTCAACATCACGCGGGAGGCGGATGTTACAGACGGTGGCACCGACTTCGTCTTTTGCTTCTACGTCCGCGGATGGTGGCCTTCGCCTGACTGGTCTGACGGTTCCCACGGGGAAGCAGGATTCCTCCCGGCGGCAGCACGAAAGGACATCCGACAGTTTGGGGTACACTTGGTGCCCACCGGCTGGCCAGGAAGTGATACTGAGCTCATCGAATATCGGATATCCCTGTCACGAGCGGAGGTCATCGCTGCTAACTATCTGTATCCGGTGCAGCGAAGCACAATCAAAGCTGTGAAAGGTATGAAGCAGTTGATGAAAGAGAAAGGGATGCCAGTTGAAGGCTTGAAGTCCTACTATATTAAAACAGCGGTCCTTTGGCTGGCACAGGACGGCACCTGCCCCTGGACGAGCATCACCGAAGGCGTGTGCTACGTCCTGGACTGGATTGAGCAACATCTCAACGCCCGCGAGATGCCCTGCTTCTTTTACAAAGAAATCAACGTGGTGGCTGAACTCATCTCAGATCAAAACAAGCTGCAGAAAGTCATAGACTCAATAAGTCTAATGAGGAACAATGCCACACATCTTCTCGTGGAGCATTGTATGAGAGAATCGTCACAGACCATGCTGCTGAGAGTACTGCTGGTAGGTGGAGCAGAGCCGCTCTCAGAGCGCCATCTGCGTCACCGACTGGGACGCTTTCTCATACGATCAGCTGTGCACCAGGGAATCACGTTCAGGCAGGAGGCTCCGTGCTGGAACGCGTGGTGGAAGTATGTCATCCCTCGCCTAGTCCGCGGGGCTCCGCATCTCCTTCCGAGCTGGCACTACATGAAGTCGGCAACGTACCGCCAGCAGTGCCACCTGTTCATGGCGTGGAGTGTGATCGACCCGGAGGACCTGGCGAGAGAGGTGGGAGAGACATCACAGAACGTCGACCTCTTCACGCTGGATGTAACTACGCTGACGCGGCTACTCATCCCGACTGACATACACAACTTGGTGATAGCTCCTACCCCGGTGGCGGAGTGGTGTGGTTGGCAGCTGCAGCTGCCGCCGGCGGAGCGGCCGGCCGGCCTGACCGCCGAGCTGGACACGCCGCGGGGCCGGGCCGAGCTGCTGCTGCGGCCCGAGCTGCTGCTGCGGGCCATCAGAGAAGCTATACCGGGGGCGATGATAATGTGGAAGGTGATTGATGACATGATGGAGAAGAACTGGACGCAAAACTACCTTCCGCAACCTAGCTACCAGTGGCTTCGGGAGACGTTAGCGCAGCACCTCAGCTGTGACCTGCAGTACAACCTACGTGTCAAGGTACAACCAGAGATGGACGGCCCGACGGTGGTCGCCACGGCCGGCCTCTGGCGCCGGCGGCTGCAGCAGCTGCTGTCCGGTGACCGGCTGCGTAAAGCGTACGACGCTGCCGTCAGCCGGTGGCCGGACCGTTGGCAGCTTGTTCCTCGCTACCTGACGGAGGACAAGACAGGTAAACAGGGTGAGTCTACGACCGGCACCACTACTCCCCCCCCCCCCCCACACACACAAACACACACTCAAAAGTCCTGAATCATGAACACCACATTACTTGTTAATGCAACACTCAACCGGATCAATCCGTAATGAATAGTGACGACGAATTAACCCTCGCCGGCACGGGGGGGGGGTTGATGCAGCCCCCCTAAGGTTTTTCGCGAATAACTCGCGTAAAAAGCGGTCGATCGCGGCGAAACTTTCAGTACCCTCGCATCGATTAATTTTACACCTACCCTGAAAACTTCATGACCCTGACCCAAATGATCTTTGACCTGTGACCTCTTTTCCGAGACCATGTTTGGCCGGAATCGCGATTCGGCGTATGTCGGGTCACCTGAAGGTCAGGTCAGGTCATTGACCTTTGGTGACCTCGGGTGACCTCGGTTCACTTTTTCGAGTTTTACATGTTTCTAGGCCAGTTTTTGGAGCTGAATTCGAATATAGCAACCATTTGAACATTTACGAAGTAGTTTTGGTGTCTTCGTAACATGTTACGAAGCTGTCAGAGTCGGTTGACACGTATTACGAATACCCGTCACAACCCCTACCGGTTGACCTGACCTGACCTGACCCGACCTGGTCTAAATGCTTAAAAACATCATCTCTGATCAACACTAACACGATATTCGTGATCAGCACCCCGGAAAACCGCATAGCAGCCACACTTTACGACTTTCTAACAGGTCCCGATTTTCCCAGTTTTCGGGTCATTGACCTGACCTGGAAGGTCACCCGATGACCTAGGACCTTAAAATTGGGTATCATCGTCTTTCTCTCGTGACGGGCAACACGCTCCTTTTTTTCCGCGAAGCTCTAGCTCGATCAGGGGCCAAACGCGAGTGGGGGGGGGGGGGTTCGTACCAACTCCCCCTTGTGCCGTCGAAGGACGCGAAATGGCCTGTGCCGGCGAGGGTTAAGAACACTGCCTGTTCATACAAACCCGTGACATACAAACCAGTTCATACATGTCTCCAAATGGTAGCAAGTCAGGCGAAACTGCTCCTGTCTAGTGCAAGCAATTATGCAATTAAGCAATTATGTGCAAGCTCATCACTTCTTTACGCAGAATGCTTGTAGGACATAATCTATCGATCATCATAATATTTCTTGAACTTCTTGGTTCGGACTTCGGTTCGTGAATATTAGGTAATCAACAATTGCGGCTCTCTAGTGACCGTTCACCATATACACTGGGAAGGTTTCTCTCCGACTGACCTGCTCAAAGATCAATTCTCCTTTGAGTGATAACATTTGTCTGGTAACTTGAGTTTGACCTAGGTACGGTTCTCTTCCAGACTCATCGGGGCTTGCCCAGGACAGAGAAATCGAAAAAGGAGAGCAGCGCAACGAAGAAGAAGAGCAGCCATCAGAAGGTCTTCCTCACCCAAAGAAGTGGCAGCTGCTTGAGACAAAGCACCGACGGCAATGGCAGGACCTGGAGCAGCAGCATCACCAGCTACTGCAGCAGCTGGAAAGGTCAGATCATGGAGAAAAGCGAAGCTTACTGCACCGACACAGCGAGGAGCTACGCTGTTTGGGGCTGAGGCATTATGAAGAGTGTCAGAGTCTGCAAAAGATTCACCGTGACGAGCGGGTAGAACTGCATCGAAGAAACGAAGAAGATGGCCAGAGACGATGGGAAGAGCTGGATCGCCGCCAACAACTACAGTGGGAAGGTCTTCTGCAAGGACAGAAGCTGCAGTGGGGAGAGATGATGCAGAGCCACGAAAGAGAGTCACAAGAGCTGGAGGAGAGGTACCCAGACCTCCGATCAGGGGAGGAGTTGGATCGGCTGCTGGAGGAGTGCAGCAGCAGACGTCAGCAGCTGGGGGAAAGGCTGCAGGGAGAGCTGGAGAGGGATGTCAAAAAGGAGATCGAAAGGACACAGAAGGAAATGCTCGAAAAGAAAAAGAAGCTGAAGAAGAAGGAGAAAAGGAAACAGAAAAAGCAGGCGAAGAAACAAATGGAGAATGATGTGAAGGAGATGAAGAAACAGCAGAAGAGGAAACGAAGACGGGCGAAGAGGGAACGAGGGCCAACGAAAGGAGGATGATGAAGTATAAATAAAGGATACTGTAATGGAACTTATAGGAATGTTTCAAAGAAGCGGCAGACTTTTGACGTAGGCGAATGACAGGTTCCAATATAATGTGATGAAAAAACGCTGTAAGCAATCATCTGCACTGTATGTAACTCGCATTTTATGCCGCTTGGCTGCACGGCAATTGTATGTTTATTGCTATTTTAGATGACAGGAGAAATTTGAAAAAAGACAATGCAAATTTGACTATATATGAAAAACCGGGTGAATGTGTTGACCGATACATTGCAATTGATTATTAAACAACCCTGTGACTATCTGATTGATGGCCGAGCATTATGTATTGTATTGTTTTTTATCATCGCATTAACGACATGGACCACCTCCATTCTCACATTGGCCAGTCAAAGTCTAAGGTCAGGACATGTCACAGCTGGTAGTTTGAGACGCTGCCTACACACTACCTACTTGATGATGAACCTGCTGAACAAGTTGACGCTGAATGAAGGGATGCATGACAAACACGGTGGTGGTTAAAAATAAAACTTTTTAGATGTGTTGTACACTGGCGTTTGGATATGATTCAATCATCTATTTGGCCGCAGAGGAACACAATATTATCACAATGAATAAAAATGATGTGCCTCTCGTGTACGACAGTGATCATGGTTATATTGCAAGATACTGCAAAATGTGACTGGTAATCCTATGCACTTGAACATTGAAATGCAGTTGTTTCCGCGCGTGAGTAGGGTGTAAAACTAAGTTCTTGATAACTGTATTGTGTCTAATATACTGCGACAAAATGTAAAACCGAATCGCACTGCATTTTGCATTTACAGTAAAATACTATCTCAATATTATGGTTCCCATCTATTGATACAAGCTGGTTAACACAAAAAATCGTGCAGCCGTACGGCAACAACCGCAATGATAGGACACCGGGCTGGCAGGACGGGACTCCATCGATAGCGTTGCACCACACCGCCGCCACCGACACAGGAAGGGTGACCGCGCCGCTGCAGCTGCGGCTGACAGGAAGGACGTCAGATAGAAGGGTTAGTACCACAGAGTCCCAGAGCCGCAGGCAGGATGGTGCGGTGGACATAGGCGACGGAACGGGGAGGGCACCGGGGCACCGTGCCCCCCTTTGATTTTTGCATTTTAACATTAGGCCTATGGGCGTTGCATAGAAAGAATGGGACCAAAAGTCGGCAGTGCCCCCCCCCCCCCCCCCCATTAATTGTAGGTGTTCCGCCGCTACTGCCCGACGTCACCCCCCCCCCCCAGAGAAGGGGGGCATGACGGAACACTGTTACACGGGTGTAACACTGTAACAACCAGTAACAACCAGTGTAACACTGTTACACGGGTTGACGCTAACTGACGCCAGCGCTATCGTGGTATTGGGTTTCCATGGAAACGTCAGTAAGCTGGGACGCTCTAACACGGGAGAACGTTCGAGTCTGTTGATGTTTCCATGGATACCCAATACTACAGTACCACTGGCGTCAGGTAGCGCCAAGCTGCGTAACAGGGCCGTGGTGGGAAACTACGTTGTATACTGCGTGTATTTGTATTGTATTGTATTTGTATTTACATTTAAGAGCCATCCACATACAAAGTGCGTGGCGATTACTGCTCAGAATCCGTATCCGCGGTTGCTAATCTAATCATTATGTATGATTAGATTAGGCGCCAGATCCAAAGGTCTGGCGCCTTTGGGTCACGGGCCAGGTCCCTGCAGAGTGCAGAGGTCGTTGGGTCTCGATCAATCTTTCCACCATATCGGTTTGGAAGTTAGACAGGGGGGGCAGAATATCCCCCCCCCCCCAGCAGGACGAGTATGGCTGAATAGCCCAGCGGGGCGCGGGTTAATCTCTGGAATGTCCTGCCCTGGAATGAATGATTGCATAGGCGCGGGAGCCGGGGGGGGGCAGTGGGGGCAGCTTGCCCCCCCCCCCCCCCAACTCTGGGGCCGTGGGGGTGGTGCCCCCACAGCTTTGAGACGGAATACCACACTTTGTTGCAAATGTTTTCTTTTTGTTGAAAAAGCCGAGGGGTGAAAAATAAGTGGCCTAAAACCGGTGAGAAAACTAGATTTGGGGGTACCCTAGGTTGATCTCTATTATGGTGTGCCCCCCCCCCCCCCCCAGTCGGAAAATAGTTCCCGCGCCCCTGAATGATTTATTTTATAATAAACCAGTGGGCGCAGGTACCACCTCTGGTGTGTGGCCCCGCGCCGGCCCGGCTCGTCTCTGTGTTGGCCGTGACGCCGGCAGCCGGAGGTGGCCGCCGGCCGGCTCCAGTCGGCGCCGCGCGCCTGTCGCTGCCGGCGGCCGGCGGCTCTTATCGGGGCCGCCGCCGGCGGTCGGTATATCAGCAGCGGCGCCGGCCGGCACCGGCCAGTCTTTCACCAGTATTTCAGCGGGGGTATCCTGTGAAGGTTGATCCTACTCCGACGTAAACCATGGCCTGTTCGGACGTGAACAGCGACGCACTCATGAACAAGATGGAGAGGGTGATTCGAGGTCTAGACCCCGAGCTGAGACTCCTGGAGAAGAGATGCGGGTCGGCGGCCCACCTGGTAGCCGACTCGCTTCTAGTGGTCGCTGACATGGTCGACAACCACTACCCCGGACGACAGGGGCTAATGACCTCCGAAGACATTGCTGGCGCGCTCGTGGGGCTCACTGATGACCCTGTGTTGACTGCTCTGGCAGAGGTCAGGGCCGCCGCCGCCGCCGCCCGGTGTCGTCACTGCCAGCCAAGTGAGCCTCTTCAGCTAATGGCCAAGAACAGATCGGGCAGCATGGCTGAGGGACTGGATGACTACATAATCGGCGTTGGAGGCACGTCGGACTTCGACATTATGTTTGAGTTCGACGGCCCCTTCCGCTGGACGGCAACGGTGGAGAAGCCGGCCGACATCGAGCCACAGTCCGCGCCGCAGCTGTGGGCCCGGCCGACCGGCAACGCCGGCTTCGTGACGCTGCACTGGGTGCGGACGACCCGGTGCGGCCACGAGGAGCCGCTGGAGGCGCTGCCGGCCGACTCGCAACGTGGACTGATGCATGACCTCTGCCGGATTATGAAAACAGGTAAGAAGAATAGCTTTTTAAATACAAATTTGCTCTCCCTCCCCTCACCATTGTTCCTTTCGTCAATACAGTGCAGCAAAAGGAAAAAAACATATTGAAGAACATTTACATATATAGATGACTTGGAGGCTGGATAGTGGATAGTCTACCTTTTGATACATACATTTTAATGGTTACACGAGGATAATGAGAGGCTTCGGCCAATCTCCTATCGCTAGCCAAGCTGAATGTCAGCGCGTCTTTTAAGTTTGTCAGACTTAAGTTGACCTGTGATCCCCCCCCCCCATAGGCAAAATCACGCCCACTGGTCCGGCGGTGAACGTCATGGACCCAGGCGACAAGCACGGAGGAATCGACTACGTCTTTTCCCTCTACGTTCGCGGCTGGTGGCCGGAGTCGGATTGGCCCGAAGACCGGCACTTGGAGGCGGACTTCCCGACGGCTGCGGCGCGGCTCGAAATCCCAGCTTTCGGGGTGCACCTGGTGCCAACCGGCCGCAAGGGCAGTGCGACTGAATTCACAGAGTATCGGATTTCGTTGTCGCGGGCGGAGGTTATAGCCGTCCGTCAACTCTCGTCCGGACAGCGAGCTGTCATTAGGGCGGTGAAGTCAATGAAAAACTTCCTGGAAGAGAGCGGGGCAGCCATCGTCGGGCTCAAGTCGTACTTTGTCAAGACGGCGGCGCTCTGGCTGGCCCAAGAGCCGCACAGTGGATCGCGGACGGGCGTCACGGACGGCGTCCACCGGCTCCTGGACTGGCTGGAGCAGCACCTTGCTGACGGCTGGCTGCCCTGCTTTTTTATTCCGGCTATTAATGTGGCGGGCGAGCTAAACCAAGAACAACGGCAGGCCATCATCGACTCTCTACGGTTTCTGAGGAAGCATTTGACGCTCCTCATGCTGAACGTTTGCCTGAAGCGAAGGAACCTGAACACACTGCTGGAGGGCGGGACGGAGCCGCTCTCAGAGCGTCAGCTGCGGCTCCGTCTGGGAAGAATGCTGGTTCTGAGAGCTGTGTTGAACAGTATCAGGCGCCGTTCCACGGCTCCCTGCTGGGAGAGCTGGTGGAACTTCGCCATTCCCAGCCTGGCCCGCGCTGCCCCCCGGCTGCTCCAGTGGTACCACTACATGTGCTCGGGGACACACGACCAGCAGTGTTCCCTGTTCATGGCGTGGAGTGTGGTCGACCCGGCGGACCTGGCAGACGGCGAGCCGGTGACGTCACCGGTCGGTGACGCCGTCACGCTCGACGTGACGCCGCTCACCCGGCTCCTCACCGACTCTGACCTCAGGCTCCTGCTGGGTGAGCCGGCCGCGGTGGCCGCCTGGTGTCGCCGGCAGCTGCGGCGGCCGCCGGCGGAGCGGCCGGCCGGCCTGACCGCCGAGCTGGACACGCCGCGGGGCCGGGCCGAGCTGCTGTTGCGGCCCGAGCTGCTGCTGCGGGCCTTCAGTGAGGCCGTGCCTCTGAAGAAGTTCGTGTGGCAAGACTTGGACCGGCAGGAAGTCAGAAAATGGACAAACAACTACCTACCACAGCTCACTTACGAACAGTGCCGGGAGATGTTAAAGCAATATCTCCGCTTTGACCTGCAGTACATCCTACGTGTCAAGGCACCAGAGATGGACGGCCCGACGGTGGTCGCCACGGCCGGCCTCTGGCGCCGGCGGCTGCAGCAGCTGCTGTCCGGTGACCGGCTGCGCGCGGCTTACGACGCTGCCGTCAGCCGGTGGCCGGACCGGTGGCAGCTGCTGCAGTATTACCTGGCGGAGGACAAGACCGACACACAAGGTAATAAAGGTAATAAGGGTAACAAAGGGCTCGACAAAAACCGCACGTTTCTCCGACTGCCCATAAGAGTGATGTTTTCCGAAAAACAGACCTAATAAGCACATAGCTAGTTCTGACTCGATCGGACCGGCTCTGACTAGAAAGGAACTTGAGAGAAAGTGGGAGATTATGATCACTAAATTTTTATTCGTGCCTTTTCTTGTAATTGAAACATAATCTATGACATTCATGAAAGTAACAATGTTATTTTTGCTAGTTTATTGTCTACTATGATATTTACACTAGTGTGGTGCACTCCTTCACCTATAGGCGAAGGAGTGTTCCACACTTATAGCTCATTGACCTATAGGTGAGTGGCCTGTGGCCATAACACTTGACAAGGTGGATCATCGCCATTCCTACTGAAGTAAAACGGCAATATGAGAACCATTGACTGTGAATTTGTCAAGGATCGATTCTTAGTGCCAATGCCACTTATTTATGATATTGCAAGTTTTCATAAGTAAACATTGTCGGCTCAAATTATTAGTGAAATACATGCCTAAAGTACAGAATACGTATCGGAGTAGCATTTGTGACATTCAAGTGGTTTAAACGATAAGGGTGTTATCAGATATGGCATTTGATTGTGCTATCCCTTATCATTTGAATCCATATATCTGCTGCATTTTGC